TACAAGTGGATTCAGCCACTCAACAACACGATGACGTAAAACTTTCGCCTTGCGTGAAGCTGTCTATATTGCGTGATTCACAGGTCACGCTTTAGTCATGTGACTGTCATGGCGGACTCCATGCCGAACTTGTATACAACCTGACGCAGCTAAAATCGAAAGTAAAACGCACTTCCTTTCCAAGTAAAAGACGCAAACGAGTTTAATGAATTTTCAGTGTTGATTCGATTAATTTTGTTCAATAATTTTGACTCATAACAATTCGTAGAGTCATCCGACCGACAGCATGGAAGTTGAATGATGCCCTTTGCACTGATTTTGAGACCCTTCTTGCTACAAACTGAAAAGCTATGAATGCAATCATTGCCTTGTGTCATTTTTGTGAATATCATGGTCCTACGGTATTATTTTGTACTCAGGTAAGCCACTAATAAACTATTTTCCTTGTTATTTTGGTATTATTCGAAATTTGGGTTCTCTGAAATTAGTTAAAATAGAAAACTTTATCAGCTGATTAATTAAAGCTCACATATAAAGATCGTATAAACATTATATGTGTGTCTGTATATGTTAATGCAAATATTTGATAAAATAAGATTAAAATCAATACAAAACTTCAGTACCATGTACATATGTGCAATTTCATTACTGTTAAGTGCTTGAAATTTTGTAGGCATTTCGCTGTGATGAACATGACCCAGTTGGAAGTGACAACATTTCAATATCTAATGGAGTCCAGGCATGTGCCAAAAGGTATACGATTATGGCTGTGAGGGAAAAATTATTGATTTCCTTACCTACATTTAGAGTCGTCTGGAGAGATTGACAAGAAATGAATAATGACAAAACATCTTGGAACTTCAAATTGTAATGAGAAACTTATAAACTGTGCGATGACACCTGAAGAGCTATATTTATTGCTCAATATCTTTGATTAGACTCTTCAGCAGGCATCACAAAGAATYACRGGCTTCCTGTCYTTTTTGGGAGTCAAAAGAGGGAGAATGGGRGCAAGAAAGAGRAGGYRTGTTCCTTCCTTGCCACTAGACCCTAGCAGTCAAGATRACCATTACAAAGGAGGAAAAAAGAAGTGCATGGGGAGGAGGCTAGTCTCCTCTCGCAGCTGTTAGGACGTTCGTTCCCAGGTCACTGGCTGGGAATGAACRTCCTAATGGCTGCGAGAGGATGTTCTTKCCCAGGTCACYCCCTYCTAATRGGGRAGTGACCWGGGAATGAACGTCCTAACGACTGCRAGWGGAGACTAGGAGGAGGCTAATCTTTGATAATAGTCAATGCTTCTGATTTTATATTAATAAATATTTTTGATTATTAGTTGATTTAATGCTTTTTGTCCGTAGCTGTTTTAAGCGGTCAATCTCAGTTAGCTCTGTTTCTGAGGGAGGTACTTCCAATGCTCATCTGAAATCTAGTCAGTGTGAGGTAATTGTTTTATTAATAACCAATGATAATTAAGTAATAATTATTAGTTTTAGTGGTGTAATATTAATGATAATAATTATTTGTTTATTGAATCCTTTTTCTGTAGGCTTGTCATTCACTGGACACTTCTCATTCTGGCTATATTAGTATCGACAAAGAAGCACATATTGGCTACTATAGCAACCGTAACCCAAGGAAACAAGAAGTATACAGTATGGTACGACAAGCATGTGTTAGAAGGTATACACACAAGGCCAGAGTATATGTAACCATAAAGTTGGTGTCCTTGCCTCCTGCACTTTAAATTGGCTACTACATGCTACTAGTCTCATTATTTTGTTCAATTGTCAATCATGCTTGTATTTACAATAAGGTCCTGTTAATTGTTTATTTTATTAATCTCTGTCATTATTAAATTTACAAAGTCTTTAGTAAGCTGAACCAAACGATTATCAATTTGCAAAAAGTGGTTGCAATGGTGATGCTGAAAGACTTCTATTCAGAACAGAGAACAGACACTGCTCTGAGTTAACATAGAAAATAACAAAGTTATCATTGTAACACAATTATCTTTTAAAGTTTAAGCTGTGAGGTGTGTCCTGGTCGAGAAGGACCCATGTTCTTTGGTGAGGAATCCAGTGGTTATGTTTTTACACATACTTTCTTTCTGAAGGACAAACAGTCAAGAGGATTTCAGAGATGGTACTGAATGTTATCATTTACTACTCTTTGAATTAACAAAGGCTTTTAATTGTTCTTTATTATTTTGTGTAGGTTCAGTATTATCTATTTGATGAAGGATAAAATCTACTTAATTAACTCATGGCCATTTCTTGTAAGGTAAAGAAACAACCCATTAAAGAATAGTCTAGTACGGAGAACTTTAGAACTTTATTGAAATGTTGATCCTGATAATTACTTATTCTTAATAGAAAGGGAGAAAGATGTAATTTCTTCTCTCTTAAGTAGTATAATACTCATTGAATTTACATAAGATAAAATGTGATAATACCAACAGTTATATTTCCATTTATAGCAATTTCAAAGAACTTATTGATGAACTTCAAGCTAAGGTATCTAATAAAACTGGACAGTTATATTGTACACTCACATGTGTGCATGAGCAGTACGCTGCATTATGTCTCAAATCTAAAACGTTTTAGCACAAAGCGACTGCTAAAAAGCTAGTGTTTAAGACCAAGTGTTTAATATATTCAATTTGTCTTTAGTCCAATGATATCTATAAGTTAGAGCTGACAGAGACCACACAAAAGGGCCAAGGTTTGCAAGCAGGAGGGAATGGATTTGTACTAACTCCAGGTACTGAATTCTTTGGGATACCTGTGGATGATTTACCAGAGGGATCCCAGAACTTTGCTCTGCTTTTTTTGCACCTTGTTTTCAGTAGCTGATTACCCATTTATTCCATTCAGATCAGTTCAGGAGRCAACGTGGTGGTCACAAAATGTATCGTTCTATAGCAGATCTTTTGAAAGATAAGGTTTGTTAAAGACTGCTGTGAATGAGACCGTTTCTGTAATGCATATCTTGCTCTATTCAAATGTCATTTAGATTAATACAAATTTGATTTTGTGTACAGAATCTTTATGCCAAGATGCACCAGCGATTTTCCTGGATCCTGAAAGCTTGTGGTTGTCGTATTTCAGAAAAATTACTTGAAGGACCACCGCAGGTGAACAGCCATGTTTTTATCAAGCTCATTGAACAAAACAGACCGATTGGGAAATTAATCTGTGATTTGTCTGTAGGAAGAGGTTCTCACTAGTGATGATGACGAAGAATCATCTGCTAATGCATCTAATGAAGGTGTGTCGATGGAATATTTTTCAAATAACAAACCATGATAAATATATTTTGAGAGGGTAACCACATATCAGTTTAGGAAACAACATTTCTAACTGCTTTGAAARAGGGAAGCAAACTAGAATTTCTGGGGAAAATCATGTTAGCAAGAATGAGAACCAGACTACAGATAGATGTCCAGTGTTTGACAATAAATGCTTTACAATAATTTTTTATGTCGCTTATTGTATTGTTACAGCAAATGCAGAAGACGTCCCTGTGTTTAAATCAATTCGACACATATCTAAGGTATGTACATTATAGCAATGCATCATCAGACTTTTGGGTTTTGAGCTGTATAAACAGCATAATAGCTTAAATATACTTAAATGAGTGCACCTTTCTGCCAAGGAGTATCAATAGTTACTGGCATTTAGTGGTTGTAAATTAATCAGGATGCATTCCCTGATACTGAAGCTTTGGTTTCAAGTAATGGGACCACATTTCTGCATCTTGACTATTACATGTAATAATTATCAAAACTGTACCAAAAAAATCATTCACTTCTTCATTCTTATTATGCTATAGCTTGATTATTTTTTTGTCAGATTGTTGGTGCCAGGCAGTTTCATCTGATAGCTTATCATGTGATCCAAGGCAATCAAGTTATTATCAGGGGTAGGGACAGGAAGACTATCACGTCAGCATTAAAGGCCTTGAAGGTAAGTAAAACTTATAAAAAATYATCTTATTTGTTTTTAGAAGAAAGATATGATTCTTCCACCAGCTATGGCCCTGTTAATGCTTAATTTTTGTTTCCCATTTTATTTCATTTTTGTTTTCCATTCATTCCCAGGTTCTTATCCCAAATGGTTGTTGTAGATGTACCTACTATAGCAACGAATACAAGGTCAATATTGTTGATGCTTACACACTTATATATCTCATTACACTTATGTTGGTGGAACATGAGYTCTCTAATCAGCTAGCGCTTTGCAGACTATGTGTATTTCTGGTGGTTCAAACTTTCTAGGGACAATTTCCAAAGGAGGCTAAAAGTCTCTCATTCTACAGAAAAAATCAACAACAACAAACAAACACAACATGGAAAATGTGGTTTTTATCTTTCATAGGATTCATGGCGTTGTAATTTCCTGGGTTTGGCCCCAACAGTAGAGATTCCAGTCCATGTTTTGTCATCAGATCTTTTTGTTTTGATTGACATCAACCATCCCATCCGTCTGGTACGTTGCGCTGCTTTGCTGACATTACCCTCTGCCGTGTTGCAAATGATAAAATTGTAATCCGTTGATCAAATAGCTGTCGTTTTTCAATAAAATGATTTTGTTTTTGTCTTTTAGATCACCGAGACAGCTGATAGGTATTTGACTTTGACATTTTGTTTTTGTTTTTAAAATTGTTGTTAATTCTTGTTGTTGTCATTGTTGTTTAAGTTGTCGCTGTTGTCGTTTCTGTCATTCATCTTTAATTTCTCCTCGTGGTTGTTGCTGTTCTTTCGTTTTGTTATTGTTTTGATCTTTTTGATTGGACGAACGCAGTAACCAAAGTACATCATAAATTGACATAGTCTCCTTCGCAGTGTCACCTTTTGTCGGGCTTGCTGCGAAGGAGACTAAAATTGACAGAAATCATAAAATATCTACCTAACCCATTTATCTCAATAGCGACAAAGACAACTTCACAGATTATGACTTTACAGTTTGTGGGAAGGAAACTTCGCCAAGTAAGTAAAATAGATACTCACTTATAGGATTGACAAAGAATACATCCTTTAGACCATGTAATATTGTAATAATGTTATTGTAATAATGTAATATTATACGTTTTAACATGATGACGATTTCAGTAGAGAGTATACATTATTAATTGTTTCTCTCCTTTCAGCTCCAACTATTTTACAGAAGATAGAGAACTGTTTAGCAATCGAGGACCTTTCAGAAAGTGTTCTTGAGCAGATGCTGTTGTGCCTCAAGGAAGAGTGGATGGAGTAAGTAGTTATGATGGTATGATAAATCATAATAATATTAAACAATTATTGGATGATGATGAAAATGATATGAAGAATTATGTAGGTCAAGTTAACTGTTGTTCGATTAAGGCATCGAATTGCTATATGCGCGCGTTGTTTTATGTTAAGAGAACTTAGAAATTATCGCACGATGGGTGACGTCAGAGTGAGATAAGAAAAATTATTGGACACCTGACGGTCAAGGCATGGGAAATTGATAAATAGGCTTCTGTAGACGAGTATACATGCATGCACTGCTATATATATAATATCAAAGAGGCAAGATTTTGCTGTTACTCCGAGTTTCGTGCTACGCACTCATCAGACAGTATTTAATCTCTTTGATATTATATATATAACTAGCTCTACACTTTATGTGTATTGAGCACTCTTTAATGGGATCAGCTACTTCCTCATACAATTGCATGCACAGCTAAAAATATATGTACTTATTGTTAATGTGATTTTATGCTGTCGCTAGCAAAGTCAAAGTTGTATTCAAATTTTCCCGGTCTGGTCCCACAAGCGATGAAAACAAAGAAAAGTAAGTACACAATAGCCATTGTATTTGTAGTTTTTGTTTTCTATTAAGATTGTTCATGTACTTTACAGATTACTGCAAGTTCTCGGTACAAAACCCGAGGATGAGATCGTGTTAAAGTTTTGGATGACAGGCCTTAATCGGCAGTATCGCAGTCATCTTCTGACATGTTCTAGTCACGACGGACCTCCTCCAGCGKCRTCACCTCCATCGACTTGAAKCGGGGCGTGGCATATCAATGATGTAATGCCGATCACATAAAATCATCGGGACATGTGCGGTTCTCGTCAACTGCGTCATACGGTGCTATCAACCAGTCGTTCAAGACTAGATCACTATAACTCAATGTTAAAAGCTAGCAAATCCATCTCAAGACTCTTGAGTGAAAGCAAGTGCTTATAAAAGAACACAGAAAGTCTATCAACCGAATATAATCGCTTTTCGCAGCTACAATCGAGCTATCGAACGGGGAAATACTTGCCTGTACCTGAATTAAATTAAAACGTTTCCATGTGATTCAGTTTTATTCACTAAAATCTACAAAATCTATTTTACAGAATAAATTTCAGTAACAAATTATGGATACGTAATGCAATGTCTGTGTGCAATAATTACCAAGAAATACGGTGGATGCATGCAGAGGGCAGCTAACCAAACGATCGTCTCCACCAAAACATCTTTCTCTTAATATAGGGTCTTAATGTAGGGTCTTAATATAGGGTCTAAAATGGCTACCGATATACATATGCGTCACCTCTTATTTGGAGGGAATGCTTAGTGTTTTAGCATATGTCATGTACTGTGTGTTTTGTTCTAGAATATTCCGTTCATGTCGCTTTTCTTAATGACTCCGTATTTCCCAGATTCGTGCTTGCCAAGCATATCCTTCAGATTTTCATCGGTCGAGCAAAGTAATTCAATRGTGTTGCCTCTATCAAGGTATTTCTTGAAAAATGCTCCTGCGTGTCGCACGTTCGAGGCGATTCTCGAATACCAGAAGTTTTTGCACTTTGATTGAARGAACTGCATTCYATGATACTCYCTCCYAGATGGAGCTTCTTTCTTTAATTTTTTCCATGTTTGTATGGCCTTTTCTGCTGGACTCATGCTTTCTTCCTCTGGAAGATGTAAAGATAGACAAATACATTTTGAGAACTTTATTTACAATTACTCCGTAGAAATCATCAAATATTAATTAAAACTATATGATAGTTACACGACGGTCATCTACCTTTTCATAACAATCATTGCAGTGCATATTCAAAGAAGAGTATAGACACATAATTTCAAAAGAAAAAAAAGAAAAATATCTAGCAACATACGACATATTTTGTGTGTCGTAATAACTATAAATTTGCATAAGCCATATGCATGTCGTATTCAGTTGACTTCTTTTTGTCACTATGTTTCTAGTAGACAACTCGTGAACTGATTAATTATATATGGTGATTGGGACGAATGGTTATCTCACGACTTAAGTTTAGTCGATACTCTGAGTCAGTCATGAGGAATGGATGAAATTGAAGTGACTATGACTTTAATTGCTTTCCAGAGAAAGACTGCAGGCCGCGTTTATTTGTGCCCCACTCTTGTACATGTACACACACTACTTACCATCACTTCCGCTTCCATCTCCAGATCCGCCATTTCCGCCATCACCTCGCCTACCAGATCTAACAGTACTGTATCCTCTCGCTTTCTCTGGTACCCCTTTTCTTCCTTTAGATTGACGACTCTGGCTTGCAATTGCATTGGTATGGGCTCCCATAGGCGATTGCCTGGATGTAAAGGCGCTCTCAGCTCGAGTTGTGTGCTGGCTTGAACTTGGAAGTGAAGGATAAACACCTCCACTTGCACTGGCTGATCTGTAGGCACGAGAGGTAGCGCCATGTTGGCGTTGGGAGCTTGATGGTTGTCGTTCTTCAACTGTCTGAGATTCACTGGATGCTGTAAGCAATTCAAGAAACATGGATTGTAACTTTAGCATATTGTAGTGGGCTCGAGATTCAGCACTAAATTTCTCAAAGGTCTCACACTTTACAAGAACTGGGTTTAAGCTCTTTGCAGTTGAAAAGTATCTCTTGGCCCTCGCAGGATTGTCGTCTAGAATGTCGCATCTACTTAGCCCAAGATAGCCAATAGTCAAAGTGTTTCCTGACAAAACGGCGGTTTCGTAGTATTTCCTCGCATTAGCTACTTGTTGTTTTTCAAAGTAGTAAATGTCACCGATTTCCTGATTGCACCAGGGAAACCACGGCTCTTTTGCCTCATTATTAACTGTTGCAAGGTGACTTGCTTTTTGCAGATATGCTAAGGCAGGGTCAGTTTTGGTCTCTGATTTATGAGTATGGCTGCCCAGTTCACTCCATGCTTCTGAACAATTTGGGTACTGTCTTACAGTATTTTGAAGAATAGCACCTTTCTGTGCAATATTTCCGTTGATATGCTCTAAAAGTGCTTGAGCGAGATTCTTCTTTGCACCAAAGCTCACACGACAAGCTTTTTGGAAATCAGCTCTTGCCTCTGCAGTGTTCCCGATGATACTGTGAGCCCTACCTCTCCAGACGAGGGCCTGATAGTCGTTTGGATAACGAGAAAGATGTTGTGTAAAGTGTGGGATGGATCCAGCCTTGTTACAGCTGTTAAACGTTGCTAATCCGGCGCTCAATCCTGACGACATTTTGTCTTCTCGAATACTCAAGCTTAAATGCGTAGTGACGCAGTTAAARTTACTTCCTAGAATTCTTCTATGTATGATGATGTAATGCACTATTTTAGATACGGCATTCCAAATGCCTGACGAGATATCTTTTTATACGGTAATAGATGGGTTGTTTTAAAATCTGCTTTCTCCTCATTGGTCGCACAGCTGATTTATTCAGTATTTTGTGTAAACATTTGCTGTAAACATTCGTTAATAGAGCGGATTTCGTATGACTGTGCAACGGATCACAACACGGATATTAACAGAGTGCCTTACGGCAAAATGACGTCACAGCACTGGAAAAAAATCGCGCGCTTTAAAGGTTATAAATTTGATGTAAATGATTTCCATTAAATTTACAGAATGTTGGTTTTGGCATGACGTAATTATGGCGAGGGCATTTAAAATACGAAGGASTACCAAACAAAACAAAGAGCAAATTTGTCGAAAGAGGACCATAAAGAACAATTTTTCTCAACATTTTTCGACTATTCATTCGATGCGACCATTATCTATCTTGAATATACAATAGTTTCATTAGCCAATCAGAATACTGGATTTGTCCACAGTCTTGTTCTCCCAGAAATCACGCGTTTCACAGAAAATAAAAATATAAAAATATCTTTAACGCTTAAAGAAAAACTAGATATCTCTAATTTTTCAAAATAAAGTCTTCGATTTGGATTTGAATCATAAATTTGTCAATTTGACCATTTTTTATGTTTTCCATGTTACTGCGCTGCCCACCCCGCACAGGATTATTTCTTGAGTGTTCTTGCGTTTTGATCCAATGCAAACACTTTCAGATGATTAAGGACAAGTTCACTACACTCATCAACGATATTAGTTACTACATCGTTCTCTTGATCGGTRAACTTCTGTAAAACGTACTCGACTACTTGAGATCTGTTGGCAGGCCTTCCGATTCCAACCAGAAGCCTCTTAAAGTCCTAAAGACAGTGCAACATCGTATTTTAATATCTTCCTTTTACGAATATCATAAAATATCGTTTGTAAGGCACGTGCGTATACAACTTACACAGGACTTAAAACTTGTAAGTACTGACTTGACTCCATTATGTCCTCTGAGAAAAAAAATAAAAAAAATTGTAAGTAATATACAAAATATGAGCGGGAGACCTTTAATGGCGTTTTATGAAGTATCATTTTTAAGAGAAAATCAAAGTTAAAGTTGTATGCAAATCGGGACAAATCTCTTGCTCATATAAAGATGCGGTCTCCATTGTGTTTACCTTATGAATTATTAATGAATTTGATAATGGTTTGATTGTGATGGACGCATAAATGAATGGTTGAACACTGGATGAGAAATAAATGAGTGCAACATTCTGTTTATCCCACAAAACCCACCTGGCACTGCCACCATTTTTAAAAGAATATTTTCCAAGAACTTTATCGAGATCATCATGAATAAGAAGAATATGACTTGGTTGAATATTATACGCACAGGCTAAGAAGACAGTAATCATATTACAACTGATGTAAAACTTAATTCTGATAACACAAATTGCATATATTGTTTGCATCCATTGTTGTCCTCAGAGCTCCTCAGACGTTTCTCTCCCTTCGTAAGGGCATAGTTAGTACTAACTATGGTAAGGGAGAGAAATGACTGAGGAGCTCTGGGGACAGGCATGATTTGCATCCTGTATGTTGCTCACCTATTTTGAAGACACTTCTTCCATTGATGTTCATTAGAAGTTTTGATTTAAATAAAATAACTTCTAATTGATTCACTTGTGTAATGCCGTAAAAACCAGAAAAACGTTTATTTTGTTGCCACTTTACTTCCAGCTTGTTGGCTAGATCATTGATAACTGTCATTCCAATGCTGTGCCGTGTTTCCGGCATGGTATGGTTACCAAGTCCCACCACCTTACAATAAAATCAATCAATCAGTCAGTCCATCAATCAACAAATCAATTTAAAAGTATCAATTCATTAGGAAGTCTGTCAGTCAGTTAACCAGTAAAATTTAGGCAGTCAGTCACTATGGACCTGGGTCTATCTGTACCAGCCTACCAAAAAGAAAATCCTGGATCTGACCTGGTCATGTGCCCTCAGTTACAACAGGAAACCCACAAATGGCGGAAACAATAAACGATACTTGAGTCAAGATAAAAGTAAAATATTGAGACAAATCAAATTAAATCGGGAACTTGGATTTGTCTAGCCTTCAAAACAGTTTGAATGACTAGTGAAGAATGTCGAAGTGAACATTGTGCTTGATATGGTCTGTTGGGGTAGGACAATATCCTAATAAATCATAAGCTTAAATTTAAACAATTCAAATGTCAAAAACTATAACAGGAATAACTCTTACTATGAAATACCAGTATTGAAAATCGATCAATGATCGTCACTTTCTCTTTGTAAGATGCCGTTTTAGGAAATTCATTTCAAATTTGTTATCTTACCAAATAATGTGTCCCACTAGATGAAAATGATMGACTAGAWGTTCTTCTTCTAACCAGAGGATTTTCCTCCATTCCTCGTAGTGCAAACGATGGTAAATTCCGAAGCAAACTCCCACGAATAACTACCTTCACACCGGCAACCATTTTGTTTACGAAGCTACAGTACTTGACGGTCAGCAGCAGCTCATTTTCAACATGGCGTCGAGATATGCTGCAAGAGTGTTGGCGAATTTTACAGCTCTTAGAAGTGCGAAAACACGACATTTACTCAAAAGAATATCTCCTCTGAGCAATTTTAGGGATTTTCCCTATTCAAGTGACTTATTTCGTAGCTCAGCGCGTTTTTTTTGCGACAATTCAGCTGCGAAAAGTGCTCAACTCGGAAAACTAGACGTTGAGAAGTTCCACTTGATATACACGTGCAGGGTTTGCAATACAAGGTCGAGGAAAACAATCTCAAAACAGGCATACCATCATGGTGTTGTTATCGTTAATTGTCCAGGATGTAGTAACAATCACCTCATCGCTGATAATCTTGGATGGTTTTATAATGACAAGAGGTTGGTCAAATTAAGTTACATTCAGGGGGTGGGGATGGGGGTTAGTTTTGGGCATGAATTCTAATTTACATATTGTAATTTTTAGAAATATCGAAGACATTCTTGAGGAAAAGGGCGAAAAAGTCACCAAGAATGTAACAGAAGAGTTAACTTTAGAAGTTTTGGCAGACAAAATTAAGGAATGATGGATCCTTTGTAAAGATTATGGGTAAATTTTGGAGCTACATTTTGTGTACACTAAATCAATTATACTAAATATTTCAAAAAACTGTCATCAAGGTGACAATGGTGTCTGTTTATTGCAATATTGGTTGTGCCATGGCATACCAAAAGTTCAGAGACAAGAATGTTGCAGATGCGCAGGAAAATTATGGTTTAATTTTGAGCAAAATGCAAGTGAACTTTGGAACAATAACAAATAATGAATGTGCTTACTATAAACTGTGAAATGTGTGCACTTAAAGTTATAAAGGTTGGAAGTGACATTACTCTCCCTGTAAAGACTATGTATTTGTCAGTAAGTGACATTAATGAATCATCATGGTAAGTCATTCCTCTACAAATAATATTGGAAGATTTGATATTTTGTACTGTTTAATCTTCATGTTATGAAGTTGACAATCAAAATTAGTTTTCATAATTAGACAAGTTTTTAAATGTTGCTTTCAAAATCCCCATGTTTTTTCTGTTTTGCTTGGAAGCCTGTGAAGCAGAGAAACGTCTTCAATTCATGATGTTGTGTGCAATCTAATATCCCTCAAGTGATTGTAGCAACCCTGGAAAAAGACATGAATTGAATAAATTAGGTAATACCTCATTTAACAGAACATAAAGTGAGTTCAGCTACAGTAATACTAGTATTGGTTGGTATTCGACTATTCAACTGAAAAGACTAGATTTAGTCTAATTTTAGCCACTGTGTCTGGCATTTTCAACAAATTCAGTGACTTTAAAATAGCCATATTATAGTCTAAATATAGTATAGTTTAGATGGTGTTTTCTGTAGGGGAGTATTGAAAGTGGAATATAAAATGGGAGTTGTCAACTTTCATGTTTGACATAGGTTAAATTAGATAAATATTTATACTTCAAATAATTCCAATCCTTTTGAATTAAATAAAATGTTCTTCAGTGGCAAAATTCAACCATTAGAATTTACCATTTTGTCTCATTAGAATCAATTTCACCAAGTGTTTGCATCCAGTCTGTATCAAAGCACTGATCAACTGTTGGAAGCCATATTGTCTTCGTTGAATYCTGTCTATCAAAACAACAGCAGCTTTTCTGTAACCATAATTCTTTTCTTCACACAGAACATACTCTTTGTCATCCTGTGTAAGACAGTTTAAATGTGGTAGCATATCTCCAGCTATAATGTCATCTGTCAAATATTGAAGCAAATCAACAATGATTTCTCTTTCTTCTCGCTGCATATTCTCCTACAAGAACTCAAATGTTSTTGTCAGGACWAAGTASAGAATCCAAATTTTGATAGTGGAGAGCTTCAACAAAGTGCTGTCACTGCAAGTTTTSTTATGTTGKTGTAGWAATAYAATAATGMCAATCAACTCGGCAAGAGATTTCGGGGTTTCCCCTCATTGATTTCGTTGCGGTGTATTTATGAATATATTATCGATTGAATTAATTAGGGGTTTTCCCCCAGGATCTTTAAACAAGTCCATGGCTTATGTTTAACATTGGTAATGTTCGGAAGACAGTAAGTATTCTTTTCACAATGCACTTGGAAGCGTTTGTTTTGTTGATAATTTTTGTGAGGTAACAAAATTCATGGACCTGACTTTCCTATTTGCCAGCGGTCTTTCCAGTTCGCTTCCCGCGCGTTTCCGGTTGGGAACAGAATGAGTTGGCATTCCTTGGTATGGTAATTCCCCGATATTTGATGTTCAAAAATACTTCTAGAGGTAAATTAGGGTTTCGAAACTTGAACATTACAAAGAACCAAGCAAACACAAAGGTGTGAAGATCAATCAGTGAGGTGAGAAATCGTTTAACACCTTCATATCATATGTACATGTCTAATAGAAATTCAAAGTTTAATTGATTATAACATATAAGATATTTTCTTTACCATAAATCCTTTAATTATAACTGTTATTTTATTCCGTTTCGATCAGGTTTCAACTGATTGTTTGAATTGTAGGTGTAGGCCAAATATTAAATTTGATATGCCTTTAGTCGATTAACGTTTCTCGGAATTAGCCGATCAATCTTTTCATCGATATAGCAGTGGTGTTGAATGAGTACTAGGGAATACACAGTCCAAGCCTGATTTCATAAGCAAATCAAGATATTCCTTTAGAATTTCTTATGTATTTTTACAGTTTCAAACTTTCCAAAGCGAAAACGAGTCCAGCAACCTTTTTCGAACTGAGTGTATTATCTGTGTCGAGTTGTCCCCAAAATTTCGATAGTAATGACCACTAAAACTTTACGTTATTTAATAATGTCAAGTGTACAAATTGTTTCGGACTTCTTTTTTTCATAATTCAAGGGTTTGAAAGGTGTTATATATTTTGCAAAAAATATTATATATGTCAAGAACTGTTTCCAAGAAATATGAATTATTCATGTTATACTATGTGATCTTTAGTTGAGTGAGTTTTCAAGATGGACCCAAACCAAGAGGAAAGGTTAGAGAAGTACAGAATTAATGCCGTTATTTTATGCTTGATTTTTTTCTTTGTCCGGTTTCTTATTTTTTCATTTCTTATTCAGTAGCTTTCTTTATGTTTCAGCCTACCACTTATTCTCACGTATATTTCTTTTAATTTTCTTTTCTTTTTTTACGAATAAATAGTGGCTTACTATATAACTTGATGAT